CTCTCTCTCTCTCTCTCTCACACGCACACACAGTGTCTCTCTCTCTCTCTCACACACACACATACACACACAGAGTCTCTCTCTCTCTCTCTCTCTCACACACACACATACACACACAGAGTCTCTCTCTCTCTCACACACACAGTGTCTCTCTCTCTCACACACACACACACAGTGTCTCTCTCTCTCTCTCACACACACACAGGCAGAGTGTCTCTTTCTCACACACACACAATGTCACACACACACACACACACAGAGTCTCTCTCTCACACGCACACACAGAGTCTCTCTCTCTCTCTCTCTCTCTCTCTCACACACACACACACACACACAGACAGGCAGAGTGTCTCTCTCTCACACACACACAATGTCACACACACACACACACACACACACACACAGAGTGTCTCTCTCTCTCACATACACAGACAGGCAGAGTGTCTCTCTCTCTCTCTCTCTCTCACACACACACACAATGTCACACACACACACACACACACACACACACACACACAGAGTGTCTCTCTCTCTCGCATACACAGACAGGCAGAGTGTCTCTCTCTCTCTCTCTCTCTCACACACACACACACACAGTCTCTTTCACACTCACCTCCCAACACATACTTGTATTATTGTTGTGGGTGTTACTTCTTGGTACTTCCCACAATGCACATTTATTCTCTGTAATTTTATTCTTTCAAAGTGCTATTGTTTTAGTTTTTTGACTGGTCTGTGCATTTCATACTTTTATTTCTCTCTTATGCTTAAATTTAATTCTTTGAGTAGTGAGTTCTAAAATGTCTCACCTGTCCTGGCTGGAGTAATTATCCCTATGGTAACTTTTTAAAAAGATAGATGATAGCTCGGTTTTTTTGTTTCTATTGGTGGCGCACATCGACACATACCTCAGTGCACATTACAAAATTCATTCCACATATGGATGCAAAATATTGGAGGGAACATAGCCAGAGAGCTGTGTGGCAATCTCCCATTGATCAGCTGAGGCAATTCCCTGCCCAGCCTGCTGTCTTCTGTCAATCAGACCTCTCTCCAGTCATTGTACAGGAAGCCAGTGCCCCTAAATCAGGCTTCGTTGCTCCAGTGTCGTTCCTGTGATTTTCTAGGTGCCTAAAAATTTAGTCTTGGCATTGCTGAGTGTCACAGCGGATCCCAGCCTACAATACTATCAACAGTTAATGAGAAGTCGGAGCATATAAAATAAGGTTGATTTTAGGTATATAAAACCAAACATCAATGGAGAACCTCAATGAAAACTGGTTGAAAATTATACTCAAATCCCATCACAATGTGGAAGACTTATCTCAGACTCTAATCATAGAATCATAGAATCTCAGGGTTGGAAGGGACCTCAGGAGGTATCTAGTCCAACCCCCTGCTCAAAGCAGGACCAATTCCCAACTAAATTATCCCAGCCAGGGCTTTGTCAAGCCTGACCTTAAAAACCTCTAAGGAAGGAGATTCCACCACCTCCCTAGGTAACCCATTCCAGTGCTTCACCACCCTCCTAGTGAAAAAGTTTTTCCTAATACCCAACCTAAACCTCCCCCAGTTCTAAACAGCTCTGCTCCAGGAAAGCGATTTCATTTTCTGCTTTAATAATTATGCCGTGTCCTCGTTACATGGCCACTCCAGCCACATCTGGTCTGACCCACTGAGATTGGTGGGAATTGGCAAAAGTGTTGGTTACTTGGCCCATTGCAAGCCAGGATGCTTCTTGGGTTTGTGTTGCTTGTGGATTCTCTTATGTGTTCTGAGGTTTGAGCTGTGACATAAGGCATTTACCAAAACCAGGGTACTTGTAGGGTCTGTCTCTCATGTGTGTTCGGTGATGTGGCTGAATGTGTGAGATCTGACTGAAGCTTTTCCCACAGTCAATACATTCATTGGGTCTTTCTCCACTGTGAATTCTCTGATGTGTAGTAAGGGATGAGCTCACAGTGAAGCTTTCCCCACATTCTGGACCAGGGGTCGGCAACCTTTCAGAAGTGCTGTGCCAAGTCTTCATTTATTCACTCTAATTTAAGGTTTCGCGTGCCAGTCATACATTTTAGTGTTTTTAGAAGGTCTCTTTCTATAAGTCTATAATATATAACTAAACTATTGTTGTATGTAAAGTAAATAAGGTTTTTAAAATGTTTAAGAAGCTTCATTTAAAATTAAATTAAAATGCAGAGCCCCCGGACCGGTGGCCAAGACTTGGGCAGTGTGAGTGCCACTAAAAATCAGCTCGCCATAGGTTGCCTACCCCCGTTCTGGACATTAAAAGGGTTTCTTCCCTGTGTGGATTCTCCAGAGAGAAACAAAGGCTGACCTGTGACTGAAGGTTTTCCGCAGTCATGGCAGTTAAAGGGCCTCTCTCCTGTGTGGATTCTCTGATGTAATAGGAGGTGTGAGCTCTGGCTGAAGCTTTTCCCACAGATGGGGCAATTATAGGGTTTCTCCCCTGTGTGGATTCTCTAATGTGATATGAGGTGTGCGTTCTGATGGAAGCTTTTCCCACACTCATTGCATTTCTAGGATTTCTCTCCCGTGTGGGTTCTCTGATGTAAGAGAAGGGAATACTTCCGTGTGAAGCTTTTCCCACACTCACTGCATTCATAGGGTTTCTCTCCCATGTGGATTCTCTGATGTTGAATAAGGGCTGTTCTCTCATAGAAACTTTTCCCGCAGACAGGGCACTTAGAGGGTCTCTCTCCCGTGTGGGTTCTCTGATGTAAGAGAAGGGAATACTTCCGAGTGAAGCTTTTCCCACACTCACTGCATTTGTAGGGTTTCTCTCCCATGTGGAGTCTCTGATGTTCAATAAGAGCTGAGCTCTGATTGAAGCTTTTCCCACAGTCAGAGCAGTTATAGGGTTTCTCCTTTGTGTGGATTCTCTGATGTGATAGGAGGTATGTGTTCCGACAGAAGCTTTTCCCACACTCATTGCATTTGTAAGGTTTCTCTCCCGTGTGGATTCTCTGATGTTGAATAAGGGCTGCTCTCTCATAGAAACTTTTCCCGCAGACAGGGCAGTTATAGGGTCTCTCTCCCGTGTGGGTTCTCTGATGTAAGAGAAGGGAATACTTCCGAGTGAAGCTTTTCCCACACTCACTGCATTTGTAGGGCTTCTCTCCCATGTAGAGTCCCTGATGTTCAAAAACGGGTGAGCGCTGACCAAAGCTTTTCCCACAGTCAGAGCTGTTATAGGGTTTCTCTCCTGTGTGGATTCTCTGATGTAATAGGAGGTGTGAATTCTGCCTGAAGCTTTTCCCACAGTCAGGGCAGATATAGGGTCTCTCTCCTGTGTGGATTCTCTGATGTGATAGAAATTGTGAATTCTCACGGAAGCTTTTCCCGCACTCCAGGCATTCATAGGGTCGCTCTGTTGTGTGGGTTCTCTGATGTCTAATAAGGTGTGCCTTGTTCCTAAAGCTTTTTTCGCAATCAAGACATTCATGGGGTCTCTCTCCTGTGTGGGTTCTCTGATGTGATAGAAGGGCGTTCTTCTGACGGAAGCTTTTCCTGCACTCACTACATTCATAGGGTCTCTCTCCCGTGTGGATTCTGTGATGGAGAATAAGGATTGAGCTATTCCTGAAGCTTTTCCCACACTCAGCGCACTTATAGGGCTTCTCTCCTGTGTGGATTCTCTGATGTGATCGGAGGTGTTTCCGACTGATGTTTTTCCCGCACTCATTGCATTTGTAGGGTTTCTCCCCTTTGTGGAGTCTCTGATGTTTAATAAGGGCTGAGCGCTGACCAAAGCTTTTCCCGCAGTCAGGGCAGTTATAGGGCTTCTCTCCTGTGTGGATTCTCTGATGCTTGAAAAGGGTTGACCAGTATCTGAAGCTTTTCCCACAGTCAGGGCAGTTAAAGGGTTTCTCTCCTGTGTGAGTTCTGTGATGTGATAGGAGGTTTGAGTTCCGACTGAAGCTTTTCCCGCACTCATAGCATTTGTAGGGTTTCTTCCCGCTGTGGAGTCTCTGATGTTGAATAAGGAGTGAGCGCTGACCAAAGCTTTTCCCACAGTCAGGGCAGTTATAGGGCTTCTCTCCCGTGTGCAGTGTACAATGCCCACTAAGGGTTGACCTGTGTCTGTAGCTTTTCCCACAGTCTGGACACTTGTAAGGTCTTTCGCACGTGTGGATTCTCTGATGTCTAATAAGCTCTGATCTGTACCGGAAGCTTTTCCCACAGTCACCGCACACATAGGGTCTCTCTCCAGTGGGGATTCTCTGTTGAATAATTTCTTTGACTTTCTTCACTCCTCTTCTGCTGTGAGTGGATTTAACCAGTGTCTCTTCCGAGTGGTTTCCCTGCTGCCTCTCTGCGCTGCTCTGATTCTCACGGGTTTCTCCCTGCTTGGGACTCTCGGAAACGTCCCCTTCACCTCTTCTCGATACCGTCCCCTGTGGTTCCACTCGCTCAGGATCTTCATGTTGAGGATTCTCCTCCTCATTCTCACTCACCGTCCCACCACCTGCTGGGACAGAGAGAGAATCCAGACAGGAGTCAGTCCCTGTGCCGGGGGACAGGGAACCTCAGAGAGGGAACAGGAAAGGGGGGAACAAACCCAAATAACTGCTGGGGATATTGAACTTTTCAGAGATAAATCCTACTCCACCCATATCCTTCTGCTGAGGAGAGAGAAAGGGACCCATCCTTCCTCCACACCCCCTGAGAACAGATGACGGCAGAAGCTGAAGGGTCAGACAGGCGTAATGAAAACGCATGAGTAACGTCTGCTAAAAGGAGACAACAATTGGTTTCTGAGTCGGGTGATTCCTCACCTGTGTGGGCATCGTTTGGGATCTCCCTTTCCTCCCAGCCCTGGAGATCGGGGACCCACGGCTCCTCCCTTCCTTCCAGCCAGGAGTGGAGGTCTGGTTTGGAAACTGGAAATCCTGGTAAGGTGCAAAGAAACAAACGTTGATCGGGTTTATTCCATGTCACTGTTACTGGTCGTATTTCCCGGGTCCGGCACCTTAGGGCCTGGCCGGTGACTAACCAGGGAACTTGCCGGACCAGGGGAGGTCAACACCGGCCAGCCCCTCTGCAGCCACCGGGTTCCTGGCCACCAGCCCCAGGTCCCTCTCGGCCCCCTCTGCAGCCGCCCATGGCAGCCGCCGGCCCCTCTGCAGCTGCCAGGGTCCTGGCCGCCGGGCTCCGCTCCTGGCCCCGACCCAGGGCTCCGCGGCCGCCCCCAGCTGTGGTCCCAGCCTGGGCAGTGAGGGGCGTGGACGGGGTAAGGCTGGGACCACAGCTGGGGGCGGCCGCGGAGCCCTGGGTCGGGGCCAGGAGCGGAGCCCGGCGGCCAGGACCCTGGCGGCTGCAGAGGGGCCGGCGGCTGCCATGGGCGGCTGCAGAGGGGGCCGAGAGGGACCTGGGGCTGGTGGCCGGGACCCCGGGCGGCGGCAGAGGGGCCGGCAGTGTGGGCCTGGGGCCGCATCGGAGCTCCTGGGCGGGAACTGCCAGCATGCTCCACCTACGCCAGAAAATGGATGTTGCCGGACCAGGGAGAGGTATGACCTGTACTACAAAATCCAGCGTCTGAGCAGCAAAACCCAGAGCGGCTCCTTCCCCTTCCCAACCCCACCCTATGGGGACGGGGCTATAAATCGTACAAAGCCCTTGACGCGCTGGTCTGGAGCAAGGCTTCCTCCACTCTGCCTAGGGAATGGTCCCAACGTACTCCCCTGGGGAGCTGCGCTGTGTTGCTCCCCTCGCTAGGTATGGGGGGTACAACTACGTCCCCATCACTGCCACTCCCCCGCCCCCATTCCTGTCCCTCCACAACGCCAGCCAGAAAGGGAGGGGATCTCTCTGGAGTGGGGACTCTCACTGCGTGTCTGGGCAGCAACTAGCTCACTGGGGCTTTGGTCCTTTACTGCCGCCTCTCGCTGATGCCTAATTCAAGTTGTGAGGAAATCAAGAGAGGAACCTTCAACCTGGCCTGGAGAGTTGATCACTAGACCCCCACCGCAGTGCAGAGAGGACAGCAAAGAACTTCCTTGTGTAGTGTGTGTGATGTGGCATTTCATGTGCTTTATGAAAATATGTCATATTCATATCATAAGTATAACTGAAATGCGTCTGATGAAGTGGGTATTCACCCACGAAAGCTCATGCTCCGACACGTCTGTTAGTCTATAAGGTGCCACAGGACTCTGTCGCTTTTTAGCTGTCATATAGTTTATGCAAGATGGCTCTTGCAAGGTATCATTGGAAAGGTTGTGATTTACTGAATATGATTATCCCATTCGTATGCATGTATCATTTTTGTAGATGAAGTTAGGATACCTGTGTGTCTGTATTTCATATTTGCTCTTTGGGTCACTCCCACTGCTGACACTTCAGGTACAACAATGGAAAAGCCAGACAGAGCTAATGGACCATCAGCACTGACAGTGAATTGTAAAAGAGCTTACTCTTCATAGAATCATAGAATCTCAGGGTTGGAAGGGACCCCAGGAGGTATCTAGTCCAACCCCCTGCTCAAAGCAGGACCAACCCCAACTAAATCATCCCAGCCAGGGCTTTGTCAAGCCTGACCTTAAAAACCTCTAAGGAAGGAGATTCCACCACCTCCCTAGGGAACCCATTCCAGTGCTTCACCACCCTTCTAGTGAAAAAGTTTTTCCTAATATCCAACCTAAACCTCCCCCACTGCAACTTGAGACCATTACTCCTTGTTCTGTCATCTGGTACCACTGAGAGCAGTCTAGATCCATCCTCTTTGGAACCCCCTTTCAGGTAGCTGAAAGCAGCTATCAAATCCCCCCTCATTCTTCTCTTCTGCAGACTAAATAATCCCAGTTCCCTCAGCCTCTCTTCATAAGTCATGTGCTCCAGACCCCTAATCATTTTTGTTGCCCTCCGCTGGACTCTTTCCAATTTTTCCACCTCCTTCTTGTAGTGCGGGGCCCAAAACTGGACACAGTACTCCAGATGAGGCCTCACCAATGTCGAATAGAGGGGAATGATCACGTCCCTCGATCTGCTGGCAATGCCCCTACTTATACAGCCCAAAATGCCGTTAGCCTTCTTGGCAACAAGGGCACACTGTTGACTCATATCCAGCTTCTCGTCCACTGTAACCCCTAGAACTGCTGCCTAGCCACTCGGTCCCTAGTCTGTAACAGTGAATGGGATTCTTCCGTCCTAAGTGCAGGACTCTGCACTTGTCCTTGTTGAACCTCATCAGATTTCTCTTGGCCCAATCCTCTAATTTGTCTAGGTCCCTCTGTATCCTATCCCTATCCTCCAGCGTATCTACCACTCCTCCCAGTTTGGTGTCATCCGCAAACTTGCTGAGAGTGCAGTCCATGCCATCCTCCAGAGCATTAATGAAGATATTGAACAAAACCGACCCCAGGACCGACCCTTGGGGCACTCCGCTTGATACTGGCTGCCGACTAGACATGGAGCCATTGATCACTACCCGTTGAGCCCGACGATCTAGCCAGCTTTCTATCCACCTTACAGTCCATTCATCCAGCCCATACTTCTTTAACTTGCTGGCAAGAATACTGTGGGAGACCGTATCAAAAGCTTGGCTAAAGTCAAGGAATAACACATCCACTGCTTTCCCGTCATCCACAGACTCAGTTATCTCCTCATAGAAGGCAATTAGGTTAGTCAGGCACGACTTCCCCTTGGTGAATCCATGCTGACTGTGACTCTTCCTTTGAACGTGTGGGTCAGCCTGTGAAGAATGGCTACAGGGCCCTTGCAGAGGCATGTGACCACATCACCGGATGCTGGAACCCATCTAGAATTCTGTACTTTTCCATGAGAAGGGTGTGTGTGGGGGGGGGGGGGGGAGAGGTTGTCGGTCAAATTAGGAAACAAAGGACTCCTACCTTATGCAAATCTTATTTAAGGGCCAGGAGTGAGTGTGACGTTGCACTCCACATGCTTTATGAAAATATGCTTAGGAATATGAATATGACATAAATGGAATATGCTCTTGTAATATATCATTGAAAAAGTTATAATGTGCTGAATTTGATTTCCCTCTTTGTGTGCATGTATCATTCCTATATCTGACGTTAGAAATAAGAGGTATGAACTTGTATTACTGATGTAGTCATACCAGGTGAGGGCCGTCAATGGGGCATTAGGAACTTGATGGCTGCCATTTACCAGGACAATTAGCTGCAAATGGCCTTGTTTACCTGCAAGCCTTCCTGTGTACCTGTGAGCCAGCCTGTGGGTAATGGAAACTGGAGTCTTGCAGGGACATGTGACCATGTCACCTGATACCGGAATCCATCTTAAACCTTGTACTTTTCCATCAGAAGCTGGGGGGGGGGGTGTGTGTGTGTGTCAAACTGAGACAAAGGACTCCTGCCTTTTGCCAAATCTATATAAGGGGGTGGAGCAGGACAAAGGAGGTGGCCAGTCATGAGAAAACCCCTGATTACCACCTAAGATGCTTGCTGGAACTAACAAAGACTGAATCAGGGGAAGGATTGGGACCAGACTAGAAATGAGTCTAGTCTGTAAAAGAAGATTATTGGAACATCTTTGAGGGTGAGCTATTACAGGTCATCAGTTTAGCCTTGTGTGTTTGTTTTATTTTGCTTAGTAACTTACTTTGTTCTGTCTATTACTTAAAACCACTTAAATCCTACTTTTTATACTTAATAAGATCACTTTTGTTTATCAATAAACCCAGTATAAGTAATTGTTACCTGGGGGGGAGGGGCAGACAGTTTGTGCATATCACTCTTTCAGTGCTAAAGAGGGTGAACAATATGAACTTATACTGTATACAATTTTATACAGCGTAAGGTGGATTTTTCGGGGGTTTAGATCCCATTGGGGCTGGGCAGCTGGATGCTGGAGACAGGTAACTTGCGGAGCTGGTTTCAGTTTAGTCTGCAGCTTTGGGGGCGTGGCCCAGACCCTGGGTCTGTGTTGTAGCAGGCTAGCATGTCTGGCTCACAAGACGGGGTTCTGGGGGACACAGGCTGGCAGGGAAAACGGGCTCCGAGGTAATTTGAACACATCAGGTGACAGTCCCAAGATGGGCTCTGTGACACAACCTGTCACAGTGAGGTAATCCTTGTTGTCCGTTCTGCCCTGCTACCCCCCCAAGATGATTGCTGGAAACAATTAAGATGAAGAGGGGGAAAGAACTGGGCCCAGCCTGGAAGGGCATCTGGCCTGTGAAGAAGATTATTAGAACGACATTTAGGGTGAGAACTCACACGTAACCAGTTCTTTAGTGTATTATGCTTAGTTTCCATGCTGTTTTATTTTCTTAGTATTCTGCCTTGTTCTGTCTGCCACCTCCTGAACTAATTAAAATACACCTTTATAGTTAATACATTTATTTCTGGTTTATAATATAACCCAGTTTATGTGATTTCTAACTGGGAGATGGGGGGGGGGAGGGAGAAATTGTGCATAATCTCTTCCACATTGAGAGAAGAGGAGAATTTCACATAATTTGGGGTTTGTACTCCAAGGGGTGGTGGACATCTGGGCGTTGTGGCAAGTCCCTTAAGCTGAACCTACTCAGAGCGGATCTCGGTCACTCTCTGCAGCTGGGTGTGGCCCTGCCTGTGTGCTGGGCTGGAAAGGCTGGGGAGCCGAGCCCAGCAAGTCCAGGTAAAAGGGGGCCCAGGCTGGCAGACGAGTCTGACTCAGTGGTGTCCCAGCATCCCAGATGACAACCCGCCCCAGTGTGACCCTTTGGGGGCTCACTCAGAGCAGTAAGGGGGTCCTTCACGGCCTGCCTCTGTCCTGGGCAGCTCGGCTCAGATCCCTGGCACCTGCAGCAGGCTCACAGCGCGAAGGCCTCACCCTGGCTTCCACCAGTCTGGGTACTCCTGCAGGGTGACCTCAACAGCCCTGAGTCTCCACAAAGCCATCTCCCAGGCCATTCCCAGTCCCTCGCACTGAACCCTCACAGAAGTTTTCTGCCTCCAAGGAGACAGGTCACACACCCGCCTGGTAGTTTATCTGAATTCCCACACTTCAGTTCAACAGAACAGAACTGAGATTTTTTTCTAATAAAACAA